TTTTTTTTTTTTTTTTTTTTTTTTTTTTTTGTTGTTCATCTTTTCTCTGTCTTTGCTGAATGTACAAAAGTTTTCGCTGACCGGTTTGAAGGGACGGAATGCTACCGTTTTCGCTCGTCTAACGAACGCGATTCGAATGAACAGGGAGTTATCGTTTTCGTTGTTCGTTTACTATCCCGGACCAATGTTTGTTGTCTATCCGTTTGCTACCTAATGCACTCGCGGTTGCACGAGAATATTTCCATCGGTTTATCGCGGTATTGAATCGAGAAGCCCCCCGTTCTTGCTCGTTCGAGGAACGGGAAAATTCGCCGTTGCTTTTCTCTTGCTTGTTCATTCGCTTTTCGACCTCTTCCCGTCTCTTTCTCCCCGTAGTCGTGCTTAACGTGCAAAAGCGTCTCTGCCGGCCGGCGACGCGGTCGATACTCACGGCGTATCGCCCCCGGTTGACCGAGCCTTACCCTTACCCTTACCTTACCGAACCTTTAGACGTATCCTCCGTTCACCGTTCCACTCTGCAGCTCCGATTCGCATCCCATTCGTGTGCGTTAAGGAGAACCCGGCTGTGGTTGCTATAATACCACGGATTCGACGTGACAGAGAAGAACGATGGGAATCACCGACGTACCAAGCTGGCTCGAGCACATCTTCCTGGTATATAAACCTTTATGTACAGGATGACGCAAAATTAATGCACCCTTATGTACCCCGGTGGTCGGACGGCGGATTTCGGGAATGGTACGAAGAATCTTCAACGGTGTGTTGTGTAACGGTGCTACAGCAACGATCTCTTCGTACACCGGGAATTTTCGTCTCCCCCGACGGTTTTTCACCTTTGTGCCGACCTGTACCCCGAGAAAAAAGAGGTCGTGTATCGCGTGACAGCACGTGTCGCGCAATCTGGGAAATCAACGACGTAACTTTAATACGTTGCAGTCGAAGCAGCGAAACGCGTTCGAACGTCATCGATGCATACGAATCGAGAACGTTGCTCGCCTTTCAGAGGGCACTTTAACCGCACCGCTCTGTGGTCAGCAACACAACGGTGACAGCGACGATGCTGCTGTTGCGGAGGGACAGAGACAGCCCTAGTAAAACCGTGACTCGTTGGAACGGAACGAAATGCAGGTTGAAAAGAAAAAAAAAAAAAATGTGCCGTAAGATGATGCAAACGAAGATTCGCTTTCCAACTTGACACGCGCGAATCGTCAGCGTCTGCCGCTCGTTCGATCCACGTTTTCTCCCATGGGATTTCTAACCGGTTTCTAAACTCGCGCGACCCGTTCGATTGTATTTCTTTTTTTCCCCGTCTGTTCCCTTTTATCCGCCGATTTGTCAAACTAGGTGAAGAGACGCACGGAGTCTGGGCTGGAATCCGGGGGTACGGAATTTTACCAGCGTTCTGCGACGTTTCGTTCTATTCGCTGCAAGTTTATTCGTTCGTTGCAAGCTCCGAGTCCCCGGGGGCAAGGGGGCTGTGCTACGTGGAAAGACACGCGTGGTACGGCCGGTAACGATTAATTCGTCGCAAAGGACACACGCTAGCGTTTTTCACCACGCGAGATATAATTAACGTGCTCGCCGATGCACCGCAAACGATAAACAGCGCCGTTTGATATTTCGTGGTTGATGTATTCGAGAGGCAGGTTATACCTCGGTGAATGACGCACGTGCTATTGTACGTGGTATCGTTTGCTTGATCGATAAAATATAAATATCGAGCGTGTGGGTCCGAGACGTGCCGTGTCCGGGGAATGGTGAAATCTCGAGAACCTATGTCCACCTTTGTCCCCCCTTTTCATGCAAAGGCGCGCGAAACGACGCCGTGGAAGCGTCGTCGATGCGGTAACGATCGCGATACACTCGATCCCTCGATATCGTTTTACCAACTACCACGCGAAACTTGTAAATCCCGTGGAAGTACGAGTCTCGAGCTCGTAAACACGATTTTACTCCATTTCTTTCGGCTCTCGTTTAAACGATCACGAGGTTACGTGGGCGATAAAGCGGGGACGATAACCGCGAGGCTAATTCGGGAGATCCCCGAATGGAAAGGTTCACGGAGATCGCGGAGTACGAGACGACGATCCGTGACGGGGAGAAAAGGGTGGTCTCGGAGGGTGGAAGAAAACGGGGTGAGGTTCGGTGGAATCGAACCACCCCCTCGGTACTTTGGTTTAACGATCCGCAGACCAGGCGCGAGTGACGATGCGGACGAAAATGCATCGGGACGCCTGCACTCTTCGAGCTGTGCACCATGTCACCGTCGCACGTGCGGTATACCTGCATCTAGGATCCCGCAATCCGCGGACGATGCTTCCCTCCATCCCCACCGCGTCTGCTGGTTACGTCACTGACCTCCAGTTAGGTGAGGTCGGGAACAGTGCAGCAGAGTTCAGGTCACGACGGAACGCATCCACTCGCCTGTGTTTTCAATCCCGATCCTTCCGCGCTCCTTCCGTCGGGATCGCCATTACGCGCCAAACTTTCCGGGCCCCGATCACTCGCCGGCCCTGAGAAAGAACGGTGTCGATATTTCCCCGTAGAAATGCTCGACGTCGGTTCACCACGTCTCGTCTCGATTATTCGCATTATCGGACCCGAGTTTCCGCCATGTCTTCCGCCACATGCGAGGAAAAATGGAAGCTTCGGGCGCGATGAGGGACCCAGCAGGTAAAGCCTGGTGCCCCGAAACGAGAGGTATATTTACCCGTTTCTTATGCCACGTAACAAAGGGTGCGAGTGCAGCGGCGTCGAGCCCGGTGATCGGCTGTACACGGTAGATACGGGGATTTTAAGCGGATCCCGTAGTTCGTTAGCGTAATTAATACGATCGTTGGTATTCGTATCTTTGCCTGCGCGAGGCACCACGAGCTCCTGGGAGTTTCGTGTCAGCACGCGCCGGGTCTGAAAATGTGTTCACTGACCCCGTGGACTTACGACCCGTTTTCTGATATTGTTTCAGATCGCTCCCTCGGCAAAAAAGCTTTGGGGCGTGGACGAGGGCGGCTCCAAGGACGAAGGGGGTGTAAAAGGCGGTGGGATACTTCACCTGGGCGACCACCAGATGTGGCGAGATTCTACCTGGAGCACCTCAGGTACGATTCTACGATTACGGTTTAACGATCCGGCCATCGCGTTTACGCGCTCGGCATCCATTCGCTCGGGAACACGAATCCCGCGTGTACACGCGTTTACGCGTTTCGTAATTGCGTTTTAGTTTCTGTTACTTTCGATGAGACACGCGCGGAAACGCTCGGCTCATTGACTAACCGCAGCGAGTACACGCTACCGGCGTGCTATGGAGCGTACTGACACGTATCAATGACAATAGGGCTGAGAATATTTGGAATAGGGTTTCGAGATGGGGATAATCCACGAACGGGGTTAATCGGAATCGATAATTCATGGATGGCAGGCATTAATGCCCTGACACTTTGTAGTCCCACTGTGCCCCATGGTTTATCCGTTCTATCGCTTTCCCTTTGGAAAAAAGAATCAAAGGACGAACCCTTTGTCGCGTTTATTAATCGTTGCCCATTAACAGCCCGACTATCCGCTGGCTTACGTTCGACCCGTGTTTCAATGGTTCCCTAGCCCGAGCTGGGCCATGCATAAAGCCAGACTTTAATCTCGGCGCGTTCATGCGTTTCCGGCCGATGATACCTCGTGCAAGCCCCCTTAAATCCCTGGAAATATCGCGGTCCCCGGTCGCGTTTTCGTCCTCGAGACACGAATTTCAAGCGGGAAACTCTGATCGATATGCATTCGGCCGACGCCACCAGCCGCTGATCGTTACGTAATCTTAAGGGTAAGTCGACTGCACCGCGCGCGCTAATTTCTTCTCGAGAAAGAAAGCCGCGTGACGTTAAGAAAGGAACGAGATCGCGTTGCGTGAGTCAGCGAACCGCGAGGGAACACGGTGTGTTGCGTTTTTACGTTTATTCGAAAAATCTTTATCGCGCTCCGCGATATTTCCTTCGATTTGTATTTTACAACGCTTTTACTCCGTTTAATTCTCTTTAATTCTATTTAATTCCTTTTCCTCGCGAAAGTTCCAGTCGTTACGCGGACCTCGATCTGCGTGCGCGTTCGCACGGTTAATCGGAAAATTTCCATCGCCATGCCGGATACTTACCGTTTTTCCCCTTTCTATCTCTTTCTGCCTCCTTTTATCTCTCTTTATCTCTCTTTTCCGCTCGTAACGCGCGCACCGCGATCCTCTTCATCCTCGGTCCCCGGTTTCTCGTACGATATCGAGCAATTTAGACGATGTCTAGCTTATTAGCCGAGGTATCGGACCATTGGCTCCTCCCTGACCGTGGTTAATAGGAGCAACGACATCGCGGGGCTTATCGAAAATCTGCGTGTTCGGAGGCAGGAATGAATGAACGCGGCGATACGTCGGCGTTACGTAAATCGGATTTTATCGTGGACGAGCGCGAGCCGAGGCTCGGCGTATCGAGACGACTAGACAATGAGCCGATTCCGATTAGCGCCGCGTCCTTTTTCCGCTCGGACGAAATGCGCGTCGAGTCTGCGGTCGTCGAAGGTCCTCGCCGGCTGACGTCGAATTCCCTGAACGTTCGATATACGTTCCGGGCCCGGTAAAATTAGAGAGAAAGGTGAATCATATGCAAAGTCGAAGTTACAGCCGTACGTCGCAGAGCACACGCTCGACCATGGCGGCGGAGGGTCGAGCGAGATGCGAGCGATACCGTGTGTTTTACGTCGTGCGCGCTTATTGATTGGTACAGCGCCGAAAGAACAATATATAGAGACGAAAGTAGAAATACTTGTGTCTCCGCGGCTTCCAGCAGAATGTCAATAATCGATACCCCACCAAAACACAGATCTCTCTCGACTGTTTGCCTTGGCGAAAACCAAGGAAATCCACCGGGTCTCTCCCTCTTTTCCCTTGCTTTATGATCAATCGATACCATCCAGGCTTCTGGTATTTTCCAGCCCTTCCGCCAACTTCCCTATCTCTTTACCTCCAGTCGCTTCTAAACTTCTCGTTATCCACCTCTGACCCAGCCTGGTCCAGCATAGCGTACTTCCCGCGAATATTTCCATTTTCACCGGTTATTTCGCGGTCGTTCCGTGCCACGATCTTGGAAATCATCAGAATTTCTCGTCAATTAAACGGCTTACGGCGGTAATTGGTGGAAAGAGCGAGCGAGAGAGAGCGAGAGAGGGGGGAGGCAGAGGAGAAACGGTTGGAAAGGTTGCGCGAGGTTCTTTCTCATTAAACGGAGCCTTAAGTCGTACGGGGTTGTTGCGCGAGGGCGATGGTACCACGGCGGTGTTGTGTGTGCAGTGTATGCACGAAACACCTGATTCTCGCGACGGCATGTACCGGCTTCCATGTGCACGCGGCCCGAGTTTGCATGTGTGCGTCACCTCGATGGGTGCAACGCGGCTGTTGCCATGGCGACAGACGCCCGGCATCAGCGGCGGTGGGAGCAACGTCCCAATGCCCAGGGTCGTACCTACTGATCCACCCTGAGCGCCGGCACACACCAACCCCCTGTACCCACCTGGACCCGACGAAATTGCGTCATATGGAATCATAAAATTCCCATAGTCCCCTGGAATCCGCGCCAATCTTTCTTCTTACTTGCGTATGCGTCTGATTTTTTTTTCTCTTCCTCTCTCTTTCTCTCTCTCTCTCTCTCTCTCTCTCTCTCTCTCTCTCTCATCGCCATCGCGAAACCCTTTGAATAACGCGGTCTCGCGGGAAAGCCAGCGATACAGTGGCAAAGTGTTGAGGATTTTTATGATAGAATTTCCGTTACACCTTTGCGGGTTTCTCGCCCCACGCCTTTTATCGATTACCGGTCGATACGACACTAGCACGATACGGTTTCGGGGATATCGTTAACGTTTCCGTTTAGAATTTCTTCAATTTTGTTTGCCGTGCCCGGGGGTAATGGTTTTCGAATTTTTTTTTTTTTTTCTTCTTTTTGGTAAATTAATTTTCAACGGTCAGAGCGTGTACCGATAAGCCCGTTGTTGATTAAACAGAGTTGGTTCGAATCGGGGTGTTCTTGCGATGATGTAACGCGATCGATGCTCCGATAATCGGTTAAAACCGAAGGATAACGAAATATCGAGTATCTGTCGTACACGCGAACCTTAATAGTAATTTCTCGATGAGGATGGGTGTTATTGAAATACGCGTCAACGTAGCATCGTGATTAATGATGTTTTTAATCTGTTCCAGATCATGCCGTCTCACAACCGATTTCCATGGGCACAGGTAGACGCGTGGGCGTCGGGACCGGATATCATCATCAAACGTCAGAAGTTGGCACGGTCCTTAGCCCCAGAAGCAGGTTAGCATACCGTTGGAATCATGAGAAAATAGTAGGACACGTAGCTTTGCTTGTAATTTCGTGGATTGTAAACGTGCTGTTTCTTTACAGTGAAACGGGTGGTCTGGGTGTTAAAATGGTGGAATACGTCCTTGGATCAAGCCCTACGACACCTAAAGATTTGGAACCCCGGATGGTTTCTTTGAGATTGGTAAGCGTGCATAGTGTCTAAGTAACGAAACGAGTTTGTCGAGTTTATTATAATTATCGTCTTTCTTTTTCTCGCGCAGAACACCGATCCAGACAAGAAAGAAAAAGAGAAGGGCTCGGCAAGTCCTTTTGACAGTTCTAAAGACGATACTGGTCCACAAAACAACGGATTAGCATCCCAGAATGGTCTCGATGACGACAAAGGGTTTAAGTGAGTATCGAGATACGTCGCAGCGCGAAATTAATCACTGTATAAGAAAGAAGAGGATGCAAAGATGTTTATACCAGTAGAATATAAATAAAGCAGGGTCGTTGTTGTTTATCACATGGGATCTGTGACAAATTCTCGTAGGTAGTTCAGCGTTTTGCTATTCTTGCGTTCGTGCATACCTATGTATATGTATATATGTATATATACATATATATATAATTGCTTGTAATTGAACAACTGTGAATATGTCACATCTTATTCGTGAACAATTACTATTGCTACGATCGAGGAACGTAGTAGTGCCAACTGTCAAGGGCGTGCTTCTACGCGGCGAACGATGACATCATAAGCTTTCCTCTTCGGTGTTACACCATCATTGTACGCCATCTGGTGTTCCGCTTGTTCCTCATCTGTCCGATGTTACCGACATCCTTTGCGTAGTTTACACTGTGCCACAATGATTTCTATTCTCCGTTAAATAACACTGATATTACCGATTTACTTGCCGTACTATTTACGTCTTTCTAAATCGACCTAGATTATAGATTCGATCGTATACGTACGAAAACGCGATAAATTATCGACGTGGTAGAAGGATGCCATCGTCATCTTTGCGTCTATGAAAATCAAACTTTCCGATCGACTGGCTTAACGAATGCAGAAAATTAAACACGAAGAAAGTCGCGGCTTTTAAATTCCATAATGACGTTTGCTCGTTACTGTCGGTCGTCACGGTCTAGTCTTTGTGATTTTCTTTTCACGAGATCAAAGGTACAGGTCTCTAAATGTGAGCGCTAAATTATATTACGTTGTCATTACGCGGAATGTACCGTTATACTGTGTTGGTAATCACGCATTGGTAGAAACCTGTAGGACGAGTTTAGAAAAATTTTTGTAGCGATATCATTCTGGCTGTCGACTTTGGATATGTTGATTTTAATGTCAGATATCCATAGAAAGCGCGGGAGTCGGGATATTTCGATATTTTTAGTAATTAATTTAATTAACTACCTTTCGACTATATCGGGAAGCTGTAAAACGATCCAATCTCGAAACAGAACGAATTCAGACCTTTCAATCGTCGTAATTTGGTTAGTTTTGTCATCCGTATTGTAATTCTTAATGCTCTGTAATCGCGTAATTATTTTCAAGCCCTGTGCAATGTAAAGCACTCGAGGAACGTTGTTGACAGATAGCTATCAGGATGTATGAAATAGAACCCTTTTACTCTGAGAATTCTATACGTGCGACACGCGGAATCAGGTCCATGACATTTACGACTGTCACGTTGTAATGGCCAAGGAAAGCTACGTCACTTTCTTTATATAGAAAATAAGACCAGCAGTCTAGTCCAGTAGCGCTGCACGATCGTTTTCTCCCATAACAGGCTCGTGGCTACATTTTCACGGCATTAAAATGTCCGATAACGTGAAAAAGGTTGCGATTAAAGTTCTCAAATCTGCGATAAAGTGAAACTCGAACTTTCAAATTCGTAATGAATATACAAATTTACTCTTTACTATTTAGTCTTGTCACGACTCGAGGCATTTTACCGGGGAAAAATACGCTCAGCGTTATCGCGGTAGAAATATGGAACGTTGAGCAACTTTTCAGTGCGTGTCCATTCGCAGACGGTTCACGAGCCCGCCAATTTTCATCAGTGTATCCAGTAAAGCGATTTATACTTCCGTTTATCTCCGTTGTACGCATTGTACTCTGCGATCTTGGCGTAGGCTGCTTTGAATCGAAATGAATCAGCGAAGTGCACGAAATAGGGTATGACGAGACGAAAAGGACTCGATTCCAGACTCGTTGCATAATCTCTTCAGCTTTGCATCCTCTTGATTCCCGAAACAGATTGGCCTTACGATTAATCCTAAGAGAATCACGGTGTAGTTCGCCTCGCTATTCAGAGGCTACTATTTACGCCTGACAATGGTTACCCCCTGTTTCTATTTCTTATCCATTACGCGAATAACACCTTTCGCTGGAATGACGATTGCCTAATACCACCCTTCGCGTTCTGTTTGCAGTCGCACACCCGGGAGTCGCCAACCCTCCCCAGGCGAGGAAGAATTTCAGAAGAACGCAGCGGCGACTCTGGCTGTGAGTGCTGGCGGTGGCGGTGTCGTGTTGCTGAAACCCGGCGTCGATGTGGTCGGCAGCGAGGAACATTTCATGGCCGCCTTTGCCCCGGCTCCGCCACATCATCTGCAACATCATCAAGCTCCACCGACTCATCATCTCCAACATCCACACTCGCACGCGGCGCAGCTCTTTGGCGCACAGGCTCCGCCACCCCCACAGGGCCCTCCGCCTTCGCAGCAGCAACAACAACAGCAACAGGGACCCCCGCAGCCGCAAGACACCACCACTCACTTTGATGTTCAGGTAAGTCTCGACCTTATTGTGTCCCCCTTTTGATTCGACAGAGCCAAGTCGGCGAAAAGGATCTTTTCTCTCGGAGGAATATGACTTTTGAGGCGGTGCGAGACGGCGAGAGACGATACGAGACTGTATGTGTGTTTGTGTGTGTGTGCGTGTGTGCGGATTAACGAGCGAGCAAGAATGTCTCGTCCTCAAGATTCTACCGGGCGGGCAAGAAATTACTCGGCCGACGACGCGAGTCCGCCTGGTTGTTGTTCTTGGAGCAGGTTAGGGATGATTCTAGCGGATTATCGGAAGGTTGTCCCAGTTTCGTGTTAGCTTGGAGTATATTTTGGCGTAACGATTAATAAATCACAAACGTACTCGTAAATCGTGAAAGCAATCGGACCAGTTTAGGCGTCCTACATAGACGCGCAAGGTTTGCCGATTATTATCAAAGACTGCTTGGTCTGAGTAGCCGTGCGAGGCTCGTGTCTTAGCCGATTAGCTTTAGCACCGTCGTTGTATACTTTGTACATATCCGTTCGAATTAATCGGTTTAACGAAGCGCTACGTAACCAAGGGAAATATTTGATTTTTGGGAACGCTGAACGCGACCCGGTGTCCTCCCTCTCTGTCTCGCATCTGGAAAGTATGCTAATGACGTATTCGTACTGTCGTAATATCTTGCTCGCTCAGCGAACGTGCTCGTGGATCACGCCGTAGGCTCGTACACGATTTCGTAAACCCCATCCCTCTTTGTTAACGTCACGTCGAAGCGATTCCGTTTGGTGGAGTGCCGTGCTGCGCACGTCGAGGAACTCGAGGAATCCATAATAGTTCTAGAACGACGCGGAGTATTTAAAGTCTGTAGATGGTTTTCCACGCGAAGGGCGTCGCTGCCGGCGTTAATTTAGCGATTGTACCGGCGACTAGGAAGAGGTTATTTTTAAGCAGCAAGCAGCTGATACTAACGAGCGGTCCAACCACCGAGCAACCCTCTTGTACGGGTTCTCGACGGACTTCCTTCGCTTTTGAAGTCGCGTTTCATTCGAACGAGCGTGCCTATCGAGGGGTGAAGGTACGAGCGGGCAACAATAGGACGGACGGAATAGTTTGCGCGATTTGCCGGCGTTTACGCGAAATCGCGCGTGCATGGTTAACGGTGTCGGGTAATTCGTGACTTAATTATAGAAATAAATTATTATCGCGTTGCGTCACGCAACCCCGGTAATTGCAAATCAAAGTATTTACAATGGACGTTTATCTCGGCCGAGACCACGTGACTTGGCAAGCCATTGACATTTACGATTTTCAATCTGGCCGATGAATTCATTTTTGCACGAGATCAAATGCCACGCTGAAGCGAGCCCCGAAAGCAATTCAGCGATACACACAGGGAACCTTTGAAATTCCGAGTGCTCTGTCTTTTCTCTCTCTCTCTCTCTCTTTTTTCTTTTTTTTTTTTTTTAGTCCGTAGCCAGCAGAAAAAATAGACGTGTCACTTTCTGTGCTTACGTCATTGTCGAGAGCTCATTTGCGGGGCCGTTCTCGTTACCAGTCGTTCGTTTCTTTAATATATTTTTAACACGCGTACTCTTCCTTTTCTCCTTCCTCTGTTCTTCCTCTTCCCAATTTCACCTGTTTCGCCGTCCGGCTGATTTATCGAGTTGTTCCATTACACTCCGCATAATTTCGGAAATAAGTTACGCTCCAATAAGTTAACCAGACACACCAGGCCGGAGAGCATCCTGCCCCCTCAAACTTGGCTTCCAGATGCACGACCATCGAATCTTTCCACTCTCGGCAACCTTGGCTGCTATAGCCTCATCCTTGAGAATCTAGCCTCGTAGGACACAGTTGCCTTTTTTCTCTCCTGCTCTCTCTCTCTCTCTCTCTCCCTCCCTTCTTTCTCTCTTCTCTTTATTTCGCTCGGCGAAAAAGGCCCGTGCCCCCACCGCCCCCCTCGCTATTGGAGCTCGGTATGACCTGACAGGCTTAAGAGACGAGTAGAAGGGGAATGGAGAACGATCTCGTCCTCCGGCACAGACAAATGTATAAATCACGGAGTGACAAGTTCTCGACATCTACTTCGAATGCTATTCAGAAAATAGAACAGACGATATATAGCCATACTAGCACATATTCGTATTTATGCACGTTACAGTGCATGTCCGAACGTTCTATCGGCGAATGCATCAAAGTGCCTTTCGTTATGAAACCTTCTTCGCAATTCTTACCGACATTCACGGCAATTTCGCGTTACGTGGCAGATCGATGCATTTAATCTTCACGACGAGTCGATAGATTCGCGCGATTATCAGACGATGCGTCGTTAAAATCCGCTTTTTCGTCCGCGTGCCGCTAGCCATGCTGGACATGTCTCCGTGGACGACGGTGTCGCGTCAGAAGTGTAACGTTTAACTCAGCCCCTCGGTGGATAACGAAGTTATCGAAGTCGAGGTCGATTCGAAAGCGGTCGATTCGAAATTGGAACGGGGACCGGAAGTCGAGGACATCGACGCGTACACCGTTCTCGTGCACGTCTCGTATCGGGTATAGGCCTCGTCTACGTTCCACATTCTTCGCTGTTTACAGCGATCGTACTTCCTATTCCAGAGCGCGGATAGTCCGGTCCCCACCTCCTCTCGAACAGGACTTTGCGTTTGAAAGCTTTGACGGCGCGTGCGATTAAAACGCGAAACGTCGCTTTTCATAGACTTTTCGCATAGAGAGACGAGTAGGAGAGTAGGAGACAGAGAGATCGATAATTTCATCCAACGTACGCGTCACGATCAGAGTTGGTCTGTTCGCACGGAAACGCCCGCGGTTCCTTCGAGGGGGGTACCGCAGAGCCCTCTCGGAGAGGGTTGTCGCTAGCGAGCGAGTAAGCGTTTGCAGGAGGAATTCGTGGAAGGATTAACGAATTACTCGGGTGCTTTTGTACGATTCGCGGCGATGTTCGTTAAGAAAGTTGGTGCCGCGGTGTGTCGCGTAGGCACGTGAATGTAGAATTCTGCTTGGAAAAGAGGAAATCACAAATGAAAGGGGAGAAAATGCGGTGTACAAGTCCTCGGGTCGTCCAACTCGTTTTCCGCCCCCCTCCTCGATCCATCTTTCTCTCTCTCTCTCTCTCTCCGTGCGTGGCGTGCGCGCGAGCTCGGGTACCCTCTCCTCTCCTACGGGAAATAGTACCCATCGTAGGCAGCATTGTTCCCAGGGTAGAGGGGCCATAGCTGCATTTTCCACGTGACGAACGAACCGCGTATGCACAGGTGCAGCTTGACTGCCGTGGCTCCTGTAATCTCTTTCTTCCTTGCACGTTCGTTCTACCTTTTCGTTTCCGCACGCCTCGATGAAAACGCAAAATGTCGCACAAAGCATGCATCGAGCGGTGCGCGCACGGTCGCCGAGGAGGAGAGGAAAAAATTGCAAACGCGCGCGACGCGACTCGCGTTTCGCTGGCGAATTCGTTATAATTTTTTCCTCCCCCCCCCCCTCCCCCCTCCCCCTGGGCTCCTTCTCATATTTTTTCCCCCCGCGCGTTTTTCCCTCGCTTTTTTGTTTCCCCCTTTCCTTTCTCGTTTTTTATTTCCCTCCATTTTCCCTTCCGCAATTAGCGCCGCATTATACGTCAAACCGGATTCCGCCGGTGGTCGTAGTATTAATTAACACCGCGACGCGGCGCGACTCTCGCGTGTGCGCTCGCGTTTCCACGATTTCCACCGGACGTCGCGAGTCGAGCTGTAGGCACCACCACGCGCCACCCACCCTCTTACCGAATATTCCGCGCCTCGCGCCTCGCCATTGTCCCTTCCTACGTTTTCTTTCCGCCCCCTTTGTCGCGTCTCGCGAATATTTCTCCGGCCGTGGGCACCGCGCGCGGTTCTTCGCGACGTAACGCACGTAAAAATAGAACGCTCGTGCTGGTTACGAGCGTATTACGCCGGCGTTTATGCACGCGTGCTTGCCCGCGGAGCGCACGAGAGCGTGTGTGCGATGGTACGAGAGGAGTGCGTGCACGCATGAGACACGGCTGTGCCCTCTGATCGCGTTATTACGCGAAGGCTCGTGCTCGTCGGTGCATGAAGCGATTCCCAGACCTCGTCTCCTTTCTCCCCTTCTCTCCTCTCTTTCCTCCCCTCGCTCTCAACTCTCCTCTTCTTTCCGCTCTCTGCACGCTCTTCGCTTCTTCCTTTTCTTCCACGCGACCACTCTGCCGCTTCTCTCTCCGTCTTCCCTCTTCACCTTCTTTCCAAAGAGAGAGCAAGAGAGAGAGAGCTCTCTCGCTCTCCTAGATTCGCTCGGCATTTTCTCTTCTCTTTCCTTCCTTTCTACCGAGCCCCCTCTCTCTTTCTCTCTCTCTCTCTTTCGACACGCGTGTAGCACAGTGTTCTCGTGATCACGCGAAAAGTAGGAAGAGAGGAGCACGAGAAATCGGAGGGAGATAAAGAGAAACCCTTTAAAGGTGTGTACACGTACACGCGTAGACGGGCATCGGGTTGTTGACTCGGTGCCCATTCAGCATAAAGTGCAATGACTTCCTCCGATGAAAATCTGTATCATCGCCCGAAGGCTGCGCAGTCTTCGGGGTAAGCGCGACGTTCACCGCCGCCGTTGCAGTTCCGGTCAGAAATTCCAAGCCGCTGTCCTATTCCCAGTGGCCTTCTTTGTCGCGGAATATCGAGTTTCGCGGCAGCTTCGTTTTTCAGCCTTTCAGGCTAGCCGCGTTTCCGTTTTAAACGCTTTACGGTTCCTTTGACGAACTGACAAATATGCACGCGAGCCACCCTATCCACGGCCACCGGCAGCAGCTATTGTTGCCCCCGAACCGTGCCTCCGCGCCCGTGTGGCTGTTGAAGAAGTCGATACGATTGTTTGGACCCCGAAATTCTTCGCGAGCAGAACGGGTTTCTTCTCTCCCCCCCCCCCTCTCTCCCTCTCTCCTCGTTTCTGTCCGTGTTCCATCAAACGTTCGAATTTTATGCGAAGCTGCGGCCAAACGCGCGCCTCGCTGCCCCGGC